CCGAATAAAGGGGAATAATCACATCTCTGGATCTACTGGCAATGCTCCTCTTAATGCAATCTAATATGCCATTAGTCTTCTTGGCTACAAGGGCACACTGTTGACTCATATCCAGCTTCTCATCCATTGTAACCCCCAGGTCCTTTTCTGCAGAACTACTACTTAACCGGTTGGTCCCCAGCTTGTAACTATGCTTGGGATTCATCCGTCCCAAGTGCAGGACTCTACATTTGTCCTTGTTGAACCTCATCAGATTTCTTGCAGCCCAATCCTCCAATTTGTCTAAGTCACTCTGGACCCTATCTCTGCCCTCAAGCATATCTACCTCTCCCCTTAGCTTAGTGTCATCTGCAAACTTGCTGAGGGTGCAATCCATTCCCTCATCCAGCTCATTAATAAAGATATTGAACAAAACCGATCCTAGAACTGAACCTTGGGGCACTCCGCTAGAAAGCGACTGCCATTCTGACGTCAAGCCGTTGATCACTACCCACTGGGCCCAGCCTTCTAGCCAGCTTTCTATCCATCTTACCATCCATTTATCCAATCCACATTCCCTTAACTCGCTGGCAAGAATATTGTGGGAGACCGTATCAAAAGCTTTGCTAAAGTCAAAGTATATCACATCCACTTTCCCATGTCCACAGAGCCAGTTACCTCATCATAGAAGCTAATCAGATTGGTCAGGCACGACTTTCCCTTTGTGAATCCATGCTGACTATTCCTAATCACTTTCCTCTCTTCCAAGTGCCTCAAAATAGATTCCCTAAGGATTCCTTCCATGATTTTTCCAGGAACCGAGGTAAGACTGACCGGCCTATAGTTCCCTGGATCGTCCTTCTTCCCTTTTTTGAAGACGGGCACTACATTTACCTTTTTCCAATCATCCGGGATCTCTCTCGATCTTCACAACTTTTCAAAGATGATGGACGAAGGCTCCTCAATGACATTTGCCAACTCCCTCAGTACACTCGGATGCATTAAATCCGGACCCATGGATTTGTGTACGTTTAGCTTTTCTAAAGAGTTCCTAACCTGTTCTTTACCCACCAAGGTCTGTCCATCTTCATCCCATCTTGCATCACTTCATGTCCAACCTAAACCTCCCTTGCTGCAGTTTAAGCCCATTGCTTCTTTTCCTATCATCAGAAGCCAAAGAGAACAATTTTTTTCCCTCCTCCTTGGAACACACTTTTTGATACTTGAAAACTACTATCCTGTCCCCTCTCAGTCTTCAATTTTCTAAACTAAACAAGCCCAATGCTTTCAATCTTCCCTTAGAGCTTATGGTTTCTAGATCTTTAATTATTTTTGTTACTCTTCTCTGGACCTTCTCCAGTTTTTCCACATCTTTCTTGAAATGTGAAAGAACTGGACACAATAATCCAACTGAGGTCTAATCAGCGCAAAGTAGAGCAGAAGAATGACTTCTTATGTCTTGCTCAACACTTCTGTTAATGCATCCCAGAATCATGTTCGTATTTTTGCAACAGTGTCACACTGTTGACTCCTATTTAGCTTGTGGTCCACTATGACCCCTAGATCCCTTTCTGCAGTACTCCTTCCTAGACAATCACTTCCCAATCTGTATGCATGAAACTCGTGGTTCCTTCCTACATGGAGTACTTTGCATTTGTCCTTATTAAACTTCATCCTATTTACCTCAGACCATTCCTTTAGTTTGCCCAGATCATTTTGAATTATAACCCTATCCTCCAAAGCACTTGAAACCCCTCCCCACTTGGTATCATCTGCAAACTTAATGGCTACATCTACAGTAGGAATAAGAGATCCTCCGGAAAAGGGCTTTATTCCGGAGGATCGCGCCAGTCTAGATGCTTTTTTCCGGCTTTTCCCCAAGCCGGAAAAAAAGTGGCGGCCATGTTTATTTAAATCCCACAGGGGATATTTAAATCCCCCCGCGAATTTCCCTATTCCCAAGTTCAAAATTAGCATGCCTCTTCCGAAGAAGGGGCCAGTGCAGACGTAGCCAATAAGTATACTCTCTACGCCATCATCTAAATTGTTGATGAAGCTATTGAACAGAACTGGTACCAAAACAGACCCCTGAGGAACCTAACTTGTTATGCCCTTCCAGCATGATTGTGAACCATTAATAAGTACTCTCTGAGAATGGCTATCCAACCAGTTATGCACCCGCCTTATAGTAGCTCCATCTAGGTTGTATTTCCCTAGTCTATTGATAAGAAGGTCATGCAAGATCGTATCAGATGCCTTACTAAAGTCTGGGTATACCACATCCACGACTTCTCCCTTATCCACAAGACTTGTTAACCTATCAAAGAAAGCTGTCAGATTGGTTTGACATGATTTGTTCTTTACAAGTCCATGCTGGCTGTTCCCTATCTTCCAGATGTTTGCAGATGAATTCTTTAATTCTTCTTTGAGTGGTTGCTCATGTCCATTCGAATCAGGTGTGCGCACCACGTTCACCGTGTCTCTGGAGAGTTTTCCCTAGTGGTACCTGTAGCGCCGGCAGGGCGCCCCCTGGAGAGGTGCCGCTATGGTGGAGCGTAAGTACCCCTGCTGGTGCTCCCCCACCTCAGTTTCTTCTTACCGCCCATGACGGTCGTTGGACTGTGTCTCTCAGAGTAGTTAATGATTCCCATGTCTCTTAGTATAGTGTTTGTAAATAGTTATAAATAGTTTTAATTATTTAGATACTTAGCGAGTTCTTTGTTTTCCTTCCCCCCTTCAGGGGTGAGGAATGCCAGGGCACCCCAGCCCGGCTCCCTCCCTAGCGTGGTGCCTGAGGGCTTCTGCCCCCCTGGCCTCTCTTCACTACGCCTCTGCTGGGTGAGCCCCATCCTAGTTCTGGCCTTTTGTTTAAAAAGTTCTAACTATTCATGTTTCTCTAGGCATTTCAGCTGCCACTTTTGCTAAGGGTCCATTGAATTGTGGCTTCAGCTCCACCATGTACTGGTCTATGGAGCTGCTGTACCCAAGGCAGGCCCTTCTCTAAGAAGGCCTCTGCCTTGTACCCGGGTAGCTCTTGGGCTGTGTCTACACTGGCCACGAGTTCTTGCACAAGAACACTGACGTTCTAATGTATGAAATCAGGGCTTCTTGTGCAAGAACTATGATGCTCCCGTTCAGGAATAAGCCCTGACAGGCAACATGAATTAAAATGGCCATCAGGGCTTTCTTGCACAAGAGAGCGTCTACACTGGCATGGATGCTCTTGCGCAAAGGCACATGCCAGTGTAGACGCTCTCTTCTGGAAGAGTTTTTGCGCAAGAACTCTTCCGCAAAAGAGTTCTTGGGCAAAATCATGCCAGTGTAGACATAGCCTTGGATTGGGAAGCATTAGCTGGAGGAGGGTAGTTAGCTGGTATAGCTGATGACTAGCTTCTCAGTTTTCTCCAATTCAAAGCACTTCTCTGTCTTTTGTTCTCCTCTGCCCCAAAGTGCCTCTGCTTTCCTTTCCCTCTGCATCAACTTCTAAGTGCCTCATCTACAGGAAGAACTCCACCTTCTCCTTAATGAGAGATCTACCTCTGTAAAGGACACCCTCCCCTCTTGTGCCTGTAGTATGGGAGGGACATGGGTGCCACCATCTGCTTCTGCCCCCACAGGAACATTCTCCTGCTCCTCATCCCTGGGCCACATGGATGTTTTTGCCTGATCTGAGACTGTTTTCACGTTGGTGTGACTCTTTGGGAAGGTTGGTTGCTCTAGGCTACCCTGCCTCTCTCGCCCTGCAAATGCATGCACTGGGCTGCTTTTCTACCCTATTCTAGCCTAGCTATCCCATTGCCACAAAAGCTAGAAAAAAATAAAAATAAACTGACTCCCCCCACACACACGATAGGCAACAAAAGAAATAATCCCAAAACTTCCAAACAGCCGAAAAGGAAAAAAATAGGGTCTTTTAAAATCCCGAGGTTTGTGCTCATGGTTCATAATTCCACCAGTGCTGCCATCATGTCAAGGCTGTTCCTCGCTCTGGTACATTGAGTGCAGAAGGTGGAGGCCCACAAGAAACTTTAAAATACACTGTCACTAAAGGCTTCTCTTAAAAACTCCCCAAGATCACAGATTCTCCAACTTTAGATGAGATGCTGCCACCACCAAAATGCAGAACCCCTTTGAGTATCCAGGAAGACACATTGGGGAATTTCTTCCTGTGGGGTACCCTAAAGCTCCTTTGGAGAGAGCTTGAAAACAAACTGTAATTTTCCTATTAGCTAACAGTGCAGTTTTAAGTGCATGCACACAAAAAATGCTTGCCTTGTAGGATATAGGAATCAGATTATAGTCTTTAAAAGGTGATTTTTATTAACAAAACAAAGAAGACACACTTGGTAAAGCATTACTTGGTCGCTAGGTGTTATAGAGCAAATGAAAAAGGGCAAGATTTAAAACACAGAAAATGTTGCCTCCCTGGGATTCAATTTAAAAGTTACAATGAGAGGGGGGCAGAGAAGAAGGCTTAGGAGGAAGAGGACATGGACTCAGCACAGAGAAGTCTGACAAACTCAAAGTAAAGAAAATAACCTGATCGCGTCTGACTACACATTCCCTGTTCTACTCACATATCTGGTGTTCCAAGGTTTAGTCCTTCTATAGGCATGGATGTCACTGGAAACGTTACATCTTTCTGCCTGGTTTAACTCATCTCCCAGCTTTTCTCTGCTCACACAAATAAGGTTTTGCTTCCAATTAAAAAAAAAACCTACACTTCGGTTACATTGGTTCTCCTGGCTTCCTGCCAACACTTCCTGGAGACTTTCTAGACCCCATTGTCTGTGGTTTAACTTTTACAGGCCATTTAGATGTCCAGAAAAGGGTAGTACTCCTCCCATTCATCACAACTGCATAAATGCATTCAAGGAAACGCACGGGAGATCTCACTTCCCAGAGACGTGCAGTGTTCTAGATGCACGCACAATGATGTGGGTACCTATTTCCTGTAATCAGGCCTCATGGCTCTTATATGAAGGTAGAGAGGTGCCACTGTAGGATGTACTGGCATTATGTAGGCAGAATAGCAAACCCATTGCTAAACATTTCATTTTACCAGGAGCGAATGTCATATTTTTGTTTTTAGAAATATCTTAGAAACTGGCTTTAAGCCTGAGCTTGATAAGTTTACGGAGGGGATAGTATGACGGGACTGCCCACAATGGCGGGTAGCCAATCTGTGGCATTTCCATGGCTGGGGTAGTGGAAAACTTTGACTGAAATGGGGCTTGGGACCTGTTTGAACCCAAGTTAACATGTACAAATTGGGAGGAGAGTGAATATTAATCTGGACACTATGGGTGAGCGTGGAACAGATACTTATGGTGTGTCAAGAGTGGCATTTACTTCCCAGTTAACCAGCAGGCAGTTATCCCATGTTAAAACAGTCCTCAAACTCTGGTGTCCCTCAACTAGCATTCTCCCACCTTTGGTCAGAGAGCCCCATGGCTGGGCAGAGGGAGGGAGAAGCCTGCACCCTTGGAGCTGAAAACAGGACTGAATAGTACCTAATAGGACACTTCATTGCAATTCAGGAGACATGAGAAGACATGGCCTGCCAAGTTCTGCTCTGGGCCCCATGGGCAGAGGCACCTAATATGGGCCTGAAGGTGAGAGTGACAGGGCACAAGAGATGAGAGAGCACAAGCGTGCAGCAGGAAGCCTGCTGAAAAGAGGGAGTCTGAGGGATCTGCACTTTGAGCAGCTGAAAACTTCTTTCTTCCATCAGGTCCTAATCACTGAACACGCGCACAAACGATGCTGGGAAGACACCTTTCCTGTGGGGTTGCCCTTCAATCCAGCCGCTCTGTGAAGAGAAAGGTCAGCAGAGGCTTAGTCAGCCGTGGCTCTTCCATGGGTTGGGTAGACAGTGGAAAGGAACTAATTATTACATTCCTAAAGCAATGCCGGTATGTTGGGTGCTCCATTACCAGGTAAGGAACAAAGCCAGGCCACATCTTTTGACAACCAAGAGCACAATGGCTACTAAATTTATCTGCAAAGTAACAAGCCTGAGGAGATAACGCCAAGCGTATTTTCCATGCTATCAAATGTATCTCCAAAAGGCTTGGCAGATGCCCCTCGATTAGCAGAGTGGGCTGCGACCCACACAGCGCTAGGTGCTATGGTGAACATGGGTTCCCAGGGAGATGCTGTGGCTAAAAGGGATGAACCAAGGGGAATTTCAAGCAGGACTAGGGAGGTAGTATAACCTCTGTGTATGGCAGACGCTCACTGACTTCTGTCCTGGACCCCCGGACAGAACAGTCAATGGGATCCCTTATCACCACAACCTCCCTCATGCAGAGAAGCCCCAAGTTCCCTGCTGGGCAGAGTGCCCCCGGATGGTTGCAGCCCCATCTCCCACTTGCCTGGAGAAGCCCTGAGCCAGGCTCTGTCTAGACTACACTGATCTATCGGAAAAAGGTTTGCAAACTGCCCTCTGCTCATCTACACTGGGCCCAACTTCAGAAAAGCCTCCTCTTTCAGAAGAGCCCTTCTTCCTCAGGGAAGGAGAAAGACAGGGCTTCTGAAAGAGCGTATGTAGACATAGCCCCACTTGACAAACCAGAGGAGCTTCAGGCTGGCCACAGCTCCTCCCTCACCCTGCCTAGAGGAGCCCCACACCAGCTGCAGCTATGCCTCCCCTCCCTTCTCCAGGCCCAACCCAAGCCACTCAGCAGACCCCGGAATCTGCATAGGGCATATTAACAGCGTCTTTGGGGAGATGCTTTTCTCCAGAGCAGATTCAGTCTGGGGAGGGGCGGCAGCAGCCGGATGGGGCTCCTCTGGCGGGGGGCAGGTTTGTGGTTCTGGGTGAGGGAGAGGGTAGGGGGAGACTCATGGCTCTGGCCCTTGGGGGCTGGGGGGAAGAAGGGTATGGGTGGAAGGAGTGGAGCCAGGGACTAGCCTCCCCCTGCAGCCCACATGGGTGATTTTAAAAAAGGCCCAGCAATTGACGCCTTTGCTCCCCCCCGCCGCAACAGGCCTGGTATGGCACAGAGATCATGACTGGGACATTGTCCAGTATAGGTGTCCACACTTCAGTATGGAACTGTAAACCTGGAAAGAACTGAGAGAGAGCAACAAGAATGATCTGCAAAAGCGGCGAGGAGTCCTGTGGCACCTTAGAGACTAACTGAAGTGTTGGAGCAGAAGCTTTTGTGGGCAAAGACTCATTTCGTCTATTTGCAGGCATCTGACGAAGTGGGTCTTTGTCCACGAAAGCTTATGCTCCTACACTTCAGTTAGTCTATAAGGTGCCACCGGACTCCTCGTCGCTTTTGCAGATTCAGACTAACACGGCTCCCCCTCTGAAGAATGAGCTGAAATCTAGAAACCTGACCTAACCGGAAGAGACTAAAGCACCAACAAGACTTGATCGAAGTCTCCCAGCAACTTCCCAGGCAGAGTTCTGAGAACAGAGGGCTCTTTCATGTAACAGCCAAATACAGAACAAATCCAATGGGTGCTGGGCTGGATTGAGACATGCTGAGGTCCTGAGTTATGTTAAGTTTAAGAGGTCCCAGAGCATTACCAAAATATGTATATTATGCTATCAGAAAGAGCAATGAACACAGAAATAATAAAGTTTTACATTTGCATATATATCAGTACATAGGCAAAGGATGCAACTATAAACTAGCTTTTTTTAAAATGTAGAGGCCCCTTGTAATCTGAGGTCCTAAACTGTAGTTTATTTAGCTTATGTATAAATCTGGCACTGAATGGCTGGACGCTGGCATTAGATAAATTCTGACTAGAAATAAGGAAAAAATGTCTGAGGGTAATGAAGCCCTGGAACAAGTTACCAAGGGACATAGAGCATCCTTGGTTATCTGAAGTCTGTAAATCCAGATTAGCTATTTCTTTCAGGAAGCTCTGCTCTAGCACAACCCCAGGTTCTGGGCTGGATGCAGGAATTCTTAGAGGAAGTGCTCTGAATTGTGCAGGAGGTCAGACTAAATCACAATGACCCTGTCTGAGATCTACATTGATCAGCACTCCAGGTTTGTCACAGACACTGGTGCTGGGAATTGGAGGGTTTTTTCTTGGCAGCCAGCCTGCTACTGAACAAGACTTCACAAATCTTGACCTATGTCTGGCTAGTGCAATGGGGCACAGGAATTTGAATGGTTTAAAAAAAACCACCTGACTTTTCCCACATTCCTCCATTACAAACAACTTAGTGTGCATGAAAACAGCATGGGCCAGCTCTGCTGCTTTCTTTATCAAAATATTATTTTTAATAAAACGGTGACATTTGTCCTGTTTACCTTGGCAAAGCACCAGCCATACGTTAGATTTCTAGATGCCCAGGAGAGCTGAGACATGTGCAGCCGGTTTCCAAGATTCTCACTTTACATTTCAAGTTTGTAGCTGGTTAGTGCAACAGGACACCCTGAAATGCTGCAGGAGAGTAAGGTGTGACAGGAGCAAGATGACTAATGGGTATCAACATCAGAATGGAGAGTCCAGGTTTGATGCAGACTCCAGAACTTAACAAGGCAGGAGTAGAGTTGCTCAGCTCTGACCAGAAACTAGGAAGACAAGAGGGCAGTATTCCAGGGAAGGCAAGGGAGGAAGGCTTAGCTAAGGATCTGGGAGTTGTGGCTAGAGAATGGCTTTGAGTACAGACACCCTGCAGTGTCATACTACAGTGTAAGCAGATACCTACCCACCAATTGCAATCCTCCTCTTCAGCCACGATGATGATCTCTCCCACGCAGAAGGTCAGCTCATCCTCGCGGTCAGCCTGACAGTCGTACACGGCTCGGACCCGGCGGAGGCGAGGCTTACTCTGAAATCAGAACAGAAGAACACCATCAAGCCTGCATTTCTTTGCCTGGTGCATCCTGCACCATGCTCTTTGGTAGCCACAAACACAGCCTGAGGGTGGGGGGGGGGGGTGCATATTGGCCCCAAGCTCCTGTGAATTCAGGGCAGGATAGAATCCCCTGCAGGAATATGGGTGGGGGCAACGACCAGCTTGGAATCACTGCACAGAGCATGTGAGGGAGGGACATGCTAAGGGCCACGGGAGATCAGGCTGGCAGAGGGTTGTGGGAGTTGGGCTGCAGGATCCAGACATGGAAGACCCTGTAGTGTGGTTCTGGCAGCTCTATTTGCAGGGTTCTTCCATATAATTGCCAGCTTTCTGACTTCTGAAAACTGGACCCCTGATCTACCTCTTCCCTTACAGCCCTGCCCCACTGCTTGTTACTCTCCCCCTTGCTTGATCCTCTCTACCTCTTCCCCTACAGCTGGGCTCCCTCTGCTCCCCCCGGGTTGGGACAGACCTGTGCCTGATTCAGTGCCTGTCACCGGCCTGCCGGCCTGCCCTTGAGATGCAGGTATGAAGCAGGCCTGGCTGGGCTCAGACTAGCATGGGTTGATTGCCCAGCCAGGGTTCCCAGGTGTATGGCTTTGTGTTGAACCCTCCCAAGGGCAGGGACCCTGGGGATAGGGTTGGTGCCAGTCATGATGCTGAGGGACAACAAGGCAGAGGCTCTGGCCTCCACAGGGCCCCAACAACGGGGCACTCCCAGGAGAATGAGGGCCTGATTTGTGCCAATCACTGCATGTACCTTTCTCCTCCCCCACAGCACACACCTGTATCTGCTCAGGTTCCCGGGAATACATGCTGGAGTGACTATCCCCATGGTAACTGTTCCCGGAGGTGGCTGGCATGTCCCTCAGCCCCTGAGAGAGGCAGAGCAGGGGTCTCCACATGCTGCCCTTGCTGCAGATCCCATTGGTCAATAATGGAGAACTGTGGCCAGTGGAGGCTGTGGGTTCGGTGCCTGTAGATGAGGGGCGGTGCATGGAGCTACTGGGGAGGGAGCAGGCCAGATGTATGGGGATACCAGTCCCTCTCTTCAGAAATTGAGCACTATGGAGCGGCTGGGGACTCAGACTAGCGCTCTGCTCCCCACAGTGCTGTCCATGCCCCTGCAGGGTGAGGGCTCCATCCATTTCCACACAGCAGCAGGGAGGCCAAGCCCTGTCCAGGGCCATGGTGCTGGTGGGACAGTGCAGAAGCTGGAAGAGGGACCCAAGCACAACATCCCAGAGCACCTACCAGGCTGTCCCTCTTCTGGAGAGGGGGCAGCATGTTCCGTGCTGGGTCAGGGCCTCCGCCTGGCTCTTGCAAGGGCCTCTGCAGCCTAGGGCTCCTTCCTTTGCTGGGGCCAGTGTCACAGGGCATCTTCAATGTCTCCAGGGCAGCTAGAACACCAGCAGAACAGTCACCCTCTCTTGCTGCAGGGCGAGCAGCACTATGCTGTGCCAGCCAGGCCCCTACAGCACACTGGGCAGCTGGTGAGGGAGACAGAACAGCTGGGCTGGGGTAAGAAGGTAGAGGGGTTGTGGGAGGGACAAGATGCCACAGGGATTTGCGGGGGGTGGGGGGAGGTTTGAACCAGTGGACAGTGGCAGGGCGGGCAGTGGCTGGGCCCGATGTGGCAGGCCACAGGGAGCTTCCATTAGCTGTGTAGGGCTCAGGTCCTTACCAGGATGGGTCACGTCCTTGGTGGCAGAGAGGCTGGTGCCCTGGTGGGACCCAGTGCTGAGGGAAGCATCAGAGAAAGGCTGGTCACTCAGACAGAATGAGGCAGGAGAGGGTGCAGAATGGGATCCAGATACTCCCCACCCCGAGGCATTATTGCTGGGCACCAGCTCCCAGGTGGGGCCCAGGGCCACTGCCTGCCAGTCCCATTGTGGAATGGAGAATGATACTGGTTGAGGGATGGGCCTGGTCTCTCTCCAATGGTGGGGGCAGCCCTTCGGGGAACCCTACAGCATCCAGGAAGCCACAGGGCACCAGAGCGCCAGCCATGCTGCAGCCTCCATGGATGGCAGCAGGGCTCCTGCCCTGGGGAAGGTAGAGGAGGTGAGAGGGAAAATCAGGGCAGCCATCCCACACCTTCCCTAGTGCCATGGCCACCACCCCTCTTACGGGAAGGGGCCACTGCACAGGACTGGCCAGACACACTCGGACCAGGGCCATGGGACAGGCTTTTTAGTGACAGCAGCACAAGGCAGCCAGCCCTCTCGCCAGCCTCCCACTGGGTCCAGGCACAGGCAGGACTCTCACTTGTCCCCCCCCCCGGAGGAGTTCCCTCCAGAAAGCCCCAGCCCTATGAGTTACCTGTCACTCCTGGGAGGGGCTCCTGCTGCTGCAGGCCCTTTGGGAGGCAGGAAGGATCCAGAAGCTGAGCGGGAGAAGGGAAAGGGCCTGAGCAATGCAGAAGCAGGTGATGGTTTGCCCGTGGAAGGTGACTTGCCTCAGCTGCTGACCCATCACCAGTAGGCACAGCCAAGCCAGGCTCCTTCGCACTCCCCAGCACCCGGGCCCCCTCCCAGCCATGGACAAGTGCTCAGTCCAGCCAGAGCATGTCTAAGAGCTGAACTGAGGGAGGCTGGGCAGGGAGAGACCTGGCCCGGAGCTTGCAGTGATGGCCAACCAGAACAACCAGGGATTTCAAGATGCGGACACTGCGCTTGGTATATTGGGGCCAAAGGGAACAAGCCAGGATGGGAGGCTAGTGCAGGTCAAGTCACTGGCCAAAGTACCACTCAATCGGGATCCTCTCTGTCCCTTCAGGGGGTATCTCCCACAGGGGCTGACAGGAGAAGCCAGACCCTGCATTCTCGGGGAGCCAGACTGATGGAACAGTGTGTACCTCAGGCAGGGCTGGACCCCAAGGGTAACTGAGACAGAGCGAGCATCCTTGGCTTCCTCCCCAGTCCCTTACCTGGGGCCAGGCTGCTCTGGCTGGCCTGCACAGGGCTGAGCGGCACCCAGGGCATAGGCTCCGAGGAGGTTCGCTTATGCTTGATGGTCAGAGGTGGCAGCCGGCTCCTCCTTGCTCTGGGGCCCACAGCACTGGCTGGCGGGCTGGTGGGAGGAGCAGGTGGGGGCATGCTGGGAGCTACACACAAAATCAAAAGCAAGCCTGGCAGTGAGCGGAGGGCAAGGAAGAGAGACACTTAGAGGGTGGGGGATACTGACAGCTGCATGGACAGGGCCTCAGATGCTGCACATCAGAGGAGCTACGTGGACATTAACACAGCAATGCTGATTTACACCCGCTGAGCCTCTGGCCTGAGCAGGGCTGATACTGAAATGCATGAATAGGTACGAACATGACCCTGATACTTGGGGGCTGCTCAGGCACACAGGTCACCACCCCTTGCACCTGCTGGGGGCTGCCCCCCCACAGCCCCCAACAGGTCGCTGCCTCCCACCCTCCATACATGGAGGTAACGGAAGATATTTCCTCAGACATTTGCTGGAGGTAATGGGCCTGAGCTGGACTGCATTGACAGCACTTGCTCTGGGACATGGCCCCTTGTTGATCAGTCCTGGGAAGTGAGGCATGGGGCTGCTGGACCGAATTCTCACTGGGGCCAGCAGGACAATTAGCTGCCAGCTTTGCTTAGGACAAGGAGAAGACTCCACTGTTGCTTGAAACCTGCCCAGCCAGCCTCCCCTTCTGTGGCCTGGCCCTACCCACAATAGGGCCCCAAAGGAACCCTCTCACCTCGGATTACATTGCGGGGGGGAAGAGGCGGTCCACATGGAGCAGAGCCAGGAGCTGCTTGCATGGCAGGGGTGTGGGAATGAGCATGCGGTAAGACACACATGTCCTGCTGTTTCCCCTGGGGTGCTGGAATCGCTCCCATCAGAAGCCCTGCTGCATTTCCCCATGGTGGGGAGGCAGTGTGCTCCTTCGGGGGACCCGACTGAAAAGAAGAGACAGGTGTGTTATTTCTGTGGTGCTGTGAACTGATGTTGACTTTTGGTCACTGCTAACCTGGGCTGGAGTTAGTCCAGTGGGCTTCAAGTGGAAAGCAGGGGGGCCGGAACAATGTGTGTAGTGGGGGTGCTGAGAGCCATTGATCCCAACGGTAAACCTGGATCTAATGGAAGCCACTTCAAGCCAGGGGCTGCTGCAGCAATCCCCCCTACTTCCAGCACAGAGGGTGGAAGGCTCTTTCAGCCTGAACTACTAAGTTCCTTCAGCACGTGATACATGTATGTGTCATGCCAGTTTCTAAGCAGGCAGAAGGATGGACAAGTTCCATGCCACAGTTAATTCCTGAAATAACAGTAACAGCAAGCAACGTGGCTAAAACTAACCCTATCCCAGCCCCATTTCAGTTCCTGCTTTGATGGCAAAACATGGACAGCTAAGAAGAGAAAGTGGGTGCCATATTTTTGCTTATTTCAGTGAAGCATTCAGGTCAGTTTCACCTGAAAACCTCAAAGGGAAACAAGGCATTATCAGAGGCAGCTACAAGAAGGTGGACAGGCAAGATCTGCTCATGCAGACTCAGTTAATGGCTCAGCAATGGGATGAGTGCTGGGTCTATCCTAGTCAATATCTACGTGGGCAAGAACCTCTGACTGAAGCTAGGGACTGCTATTGCATACTGGTGCCTCACCTGTTCATCCAGATCATCTTCGCTCTCATCCACTTCCTCCTGGCCCAGCCGCCACTCATATTCCACATGGACACGCATGTTGAACTGGTTGTTTTGGGCCTGCATCAGCTGGAACACCAAGAATCGGGTGCAAGTCAAACTCTCCTACCTCCATCTACAGGGCTCTGCATCCAGGCTGAAAGGGGAGTGGCCAGACCAGGATCCCAGAGACAGGTCCTGGGGAGAACACTTCAGTCTGAAACAATGATTTCCAGCTGGTAGACATGGTGCTCAGGCTGCCTCAGCCCTACCTGGAGACTTTACTGAAGCCTTCCTCCTCTTTCCAGAGCACTGCATTGGAGCCCTAACTCGTGACCCTGGGCCAAATAAGAGCATGATTTTCGGGAGATCAGCTCACAGCAGCCTGCTCTGAGCCTGGCAGATAGCCCCAGAGACTTTCAGCCTGGCAAGCCCAGATCACATCCCATCAGTACCAACTTGGAATTTGCTAGCTGGGAGAAGAAATGCCTCTACCTCTGAAGTCTGCACTGCCACTAGTAGTGTCTCCAGACAGAATGTGCCATCCCCCAAATGAGTGAATCCAGTTCTTTTTCAGCAATGGTCGACCAGGCATCAGCCTGAAGCTACTTTACATCCTGCATAGCCTCCCACATGGACACCAGCAGAGCCCTAGCAACTTGACAAGGTCTTGGATCAGGGCACCACCTTTCAGCCAGGACCAGCAGAAGCAGCATTCACTGCCTGCAGCACCCCTAGGACCTCCAGTGGGAAGAAAAACTCCCATGTTTTCCCCAATCCATAAGCTCCAAACCCCTATCAATCAGGCAAGGTGCAGATCAGACCACCCGCACAGAATTCATCCAAGGCCTCACATCCAAGGGCATCCTTGGCCAAAGCCCATGTGTTTGTTGGCACTGTGCAAACATGGGCAATAAAACGGAGTGCTGTGGACCTCCACTAAGCAAGAGGCAAGACCTCAGAATGGAGTTATTTGCCCAGCACACTGCTAGATCTATGCTGGAGGAAGTGCAATGTACGCTCAGGGAAACACTGGCATAAACAGTTTAGTGGGGCTGCTGCCTTCCCTTTCTAACAAGGTCCAATCCCTGCTGGGCCTCAAGGGTGGAGAGGCCCTTTCTTACCAGCTCTTCACACAGGGAATGTCTCATGCGCCTGGCAACATCGAAGGCTGTTTCTCCAGCTTTATTGGCTGGAGGGGAAGAGGGGCTGGGG